AACACAAATGACTCATTAAAAAAACAGTTAGAAGAGTGTAATAAAGAAAAAAAATCCTTGCAAGATAAAAATAAAAAACTCAAAGATGAAATTAACAAACTAAAAGAAGAATTGAAAAAATATAAAGAAAATGAACCAAATGAAAATCTCACTAAAGAAAATAAAGAACTGAACGAAAAGTTAGAAAAATGCATACAAGAAAGAAAACCTTTGGAAGAAGCGAATGCTAAAATGCAAAAAGCATTAAAAAAATGTGATGAATATTACACAGCCCTTGATAAAAAAGCTAATATTATTTTAGATAACTTTATAGTACAATATGAAAGTACTAGTGATCTAGAAATTAAAATAAATAAAATCGGCGCAGTTAGTATAGAAATTAAAAAAGTTAATTAGTATATAAATAAATACAATATTGTTTGTATAAAATAAACAAAATGACGTCCTCTGGTGAGATAAACCAAATCGTAAAAATATTAGAAAAGCTAAGAAATAAAAACGAAATCCTTAAAAAAGAAAATGAAAATTTACAAAACATCGACGAAAAATGTAAAAAACTAACCGAAGAAAACGAAAAACTCATAAAAGAAAACAAAGAATTAACGGAAAAAAATGATGAACTTGTTTATTTTGTATATAAAAAACAAAATAAATATCAACAAATGAACAAAGAAATGACAGAATTGTTTGAAAATTTAGATAAAAAAATCGATAACAGCTTAATCATTTTAAAAATTAATTTTATTTTTTCAGATTCCAATATAAATAAGATAAACAAAATCGTTTTAGCTAGTGAAAATCTCAAAAAAATTCAACAATGATTTCCGCTAAATTACAACAAATTCAAAATGAAATAAATAAATTAAAAAAAGAAAATGATCAAATAGAAACCGAAAATAATCAAATTTTGAAAAACAGTCAATACGAAAACCTATTAAAGATGAATCAAAAGCTGCAAGAAGAAAACAAAATTGCTAAGTATCAAAATGAAAGATTAACCAAAAAACAAGAACAAATATTTGAAGAAATTCGATCAGAAATTGAACAATATAATGAAAAGGAAAAAATATTTAATGTTTTGGACGAAAAAATAGATATTGTTTTAGCTAATTTTAATTTTGAAGTTTTGTTTCCACTAGACGATACTTTAGAAAAAATGGAAAAAATTGTTGAATTATGTAATAATGTCACACAAATCAATCAAAATTAGTTTTTTTATTTGTTCTATGTATAAATAAAATAAAATAAACTTTCTTTATAAGTAAATTATGCCATTCAGCTCCGGTGAACTAAATAGAATTCAACAAATTTTAAACGATTTAAAACAAGAAGAAACTACTTTGAAAAATAAAATCTCCCAATGTAAAGATAAAAATAAAGACTACGAACAAAACAAAGAAGTTAACCAAGAATTAAAGAATCTAGAATATGATTACAAATCTTTGGAAAGAACTTTAAATAGCAAATTAGAACAACTTGAAAAAGAAAAAGAAATCAATATCGAAGTATTAAAAAGAATAGAAATCTTAAATCAAAAAGCCGATATTGTGTTAAAAAATTTTAAAATACAATCAAATCATCCCACTTTAAAAAATAAATTAGCTTTAATTAAAAAAATTAGTGAAAATACAAATGAATTTCTCATCAAAAAAAATTAAAGAAATTCAAGAACTCATCAATAAATTACGAGAAGAAATTAAAAACTTGTCAAAAGAAAAGGATAATTGTGAAAAAGAAAATCTCGATAATCAACAAATTATTAATGAAAATAAACACTTAAAAGAACAAAATTTTGAAAATAAAATACAAGAAAAAATAGAAGAAATAAGTGTAACTAACAGAGTACTTGATGTTTTTATCAAAAACAACAATCTTGAAAGAGATAAAGAACTCATAAATGATTCGTTAAAGAATTTTAAAATAGCATTTAACGAAACAGATTCGTTGGAACATAAAATGGATCTTATCATCGAATTTAGCAGCAAAAACATTCAATCATAACAAAAATAGAAATAATTTACATCACATGTATTAATTATATTTTAAATTTAAATAAATATCATTTTATTAAATTTTTTTTAAAAAAAATGTCTCTCAAACGACTCCAAATACCAAGTGGTTCTGGTGAACTTGACCATATCCAAGGGCTAATCAATAGCTTGGGTGATAAAATCAAAGAATTGGAAAAAGAAAATGAAGAATTAAAAAAAAATAAAGAACCTGATCAAAACCTAAAAAAAGAAAATGAAAAACTGAAAAGTGAAATTAAAACCTTAACGGATGAAAAAGACAAATTAAACAAAGAAATCAACACCTTGAAAAAAACAAACGAATCATTAGACTCTAAACTTAATACCACTTTAGATCTATTAGAAATAAATTATGATGTCAAAATTTCAATCGAACAAAAAATGAACGTGACTATTGAAGGAGTTAAAAATAGCAAAACCAGAGTAAACATTCAATTATTACAATTTTAGTAATATTAAATATTTTAAACACAATTTAACAATCAATTACTTGATTTAGATTTATTAAATGTAGAGTTATCTACATTTAATAAATCTAAATCTAGTAATTGTATAAAGACAGATTAATTATAAAATAAGTAGAATTTTTGTTTATAATAATAAAAAAAAAATATAAAAACAACATAAAAACAATAGTATGTATGTATATTATCTAAAATGAAAGTAAAATCAAATAAAAAAACCTATTGTACTAAAAAAGTCATCTATTGTAAAGAATCAGATATGTCTTTGGCTGGCGCTATCAATGTCGGAAAATATAACAATAAAGGAGAGTTAGAATACGATCATGATGTTCAAGAATTTGAAAACTTACC